ATCCATGTACAACGAATATTACCGGAGATGATGATTTTTTTTGTTTTTCAACCCCTTTTCTACCCCCTTAGACGGCCTGACAAACTATGAGTTCACCACCCTCCCATCAAATACAATCAGTAGAATCGTTTGCCGCCTTCAAAATCCATGTACAACGAATATTACCGGAGATGATGATTTTTTTTGTTTTTCAACCCCTTTTCTACCCCCTTAGACGGCCTGACAAACTATGAGTTCACCACCCTCCCATCAAATACAAACAGTAGAATCGTTTGCCGCCTTCAAAATCCATGTACAACGAATATTACCGGAGATGATGATTTTTTTTGTTTTTCAACCCCTTTTCTACCCCCTTAGACGGCCTGACAAACTATGAGTTCACCACCCTCCCATCAAATACAATCAGTAGAATCGTTTGCCGCCTTCAAAATCCATGTACAACGAATATTACCGGAGATAATGAATTTTTTTGTTTTTTCAACCCCTTTTCTACCCCCTTAGACGGCCTGACAAACTATGAGTTCACTACCCTCCCATCAAATACAATCAGTAGAATCGTTTGTCGCCTTCAAAATCCATGTACAACGAATATTAACGGAGATAATGATTTTTTTATTTTTCAACCCCTTTTCTACCCCTTTAGACGGCCTGACAAACTATGAGTTCACCACCCTCCCATCAAATACAATCAGTAGAATCGTTTGCCGCCTTCAAAATCCATGTACAAAGAATATTAACGGAGATGATGATTTTTTTTGTTTTTCAACCCCTTTTCTACCCCCTTAGACGGCCTGACAAACTATGAGTTCACCACCCTCCCATCAAATACAATCAGTAGAATCGTTTGCCGCCTTCAAAATCCATGTACAACGAATATTACCGGAGATGATGATTTTTTTTGTTTTTCAACCCCTTTTCTACCCCCTTAGACGGCCTGACAAACTATGAGTTCACTATTTTTCTATCAAATTCGATTAGTAGAATCGTTTGCTGCCTTCAAAATCCATGTACAACGAATATTAACGGAGATAATGAATTTTTTTGGTCTTTCAACCCCTTTTCTACCCCCTTAGACGGCCTGACAAACTATGATTTCACCACCCTACCATCAAATACAATCAGTAGAATCGTTTGCCGCCTTCAAAATCCATGTACAAAGAATATTAACGGAGATGATGATTTTTTTTGTTTTTCAACCCCTTTTCTACCCCCTTAGACGGCCTGACAAACTATGAGTTCACCACCCTCCCATCAAATACAATCAGTAGAATCGTTTGCCGCCTTCAAAATCCATGTACAACGAATATTACCGGAGATAATGAATTTTTTTGTTTTTCAACCCCTTTTCTACCCCCTTAGACGGCCTGACAAACTATGAGTTCACTACCCTCCCATCAAATACAATCAGTAGAATCGTTTGTCGCCTTCAAAATCCATGTACAACGAATATTAACGGAGATAATGATTTTTTTATTTTTCAACCCCTTTTCTACCCCTTTAGACGGCCTGACAAACTATGAGTTCACCACCCTCCCATCAAATACAATCAGTAGAATCGTTTGCCGCCTTCAAAATCCATGTACAAAGAATATTAACGGAGATGATGATTTTTTTTGTTTTTCAACCCCTTTTCTACCCCCTTAGACGGCCTGACAAACTATGAGTTCACCACCCTCCCATCAAATACAATCAGTAGAATCGTTTGCCGCCTTCAAAATCCATGTACAACGAATATTACCGGAGATGATGATTTTTTTTGTTTTTCAACCCCTTTTCTACCCCCTTAGACGGCCTGACAAACTATGAGTTCACTATTTTTCTATCAAATTCGATTAGTAGAATCGTTTGCTGCCTTCAAAATCCATGTACAACGAATATTAACGGAGATAATGAATTTTTTTGTCTTTCAACCCCTTTTCTACCCCCTTAGACGGCCTGACAAACTATGATTTCACCACCCTACCATCAAATACAATCAGTAGAATCGTTTGCCGCCTTCAAAATCCATGTACAAAGAATATTAACGGAGATGATGATTTTTTTTGTTTTTCAACCCCTTTTCTACCCCCTTAGACGGCCTGACAAACTATGAGTTCACCACCCTCCCATCAAATACAATCAGTAGAATCGTTTGCCGCCTTCAAAATCCATGTACAAAGAATATTAACGGAGATGATGATTTTTTTTGTTTTTCAACCCCTTTTCTACCCCCTTAGACGGCCTGACAAACTATGAGTTCACCACCCTCCCATCAAATACAATCAGTAGAATCGTTTGCCGCCTTCAAAATCCATGTACAACGAATATTACCGGAGATGATGATTTTTTTTGTTTTTCAACCCCTTTTCTACCCCCTTAGACGGCCTGACAAACTATGAGTTCACCACCCTCCCATCAAATACAATCAGTAGAATCGTTTGCCGCCTTCAAAATCCATGTACAACGAATATTACCGGAGATAATGAATTTTTTGTTTTTCAACCCCTTTTCTACCCCCTTAGACGGCCTGACAAACTATGAGTTCACTACCCTCCCATCAAATACAATCAGTAGAATCGTTTGTCGCCTTCAAAATCCATGTACAACGAATATTAACGGAGATAATGATTTTTTTATTTTTCAACCCCTTTTCTACCCCTTTAGACGGCCTGACAAACTATGAGTTCACCACCCTCCCATCAAATACAATCAGTAGAATCGTTTGCCGCCTTCAAAATCCATGTACAACGAATATTACCGGAGATGATGATTTTTTTTGTTTTTCAACCCCTTTTCTACCCCCTTAGACGGCCTGACAAACTATGAGTTCACCACCCTCCCATCAAATACAATCAGTAGAATCGTTTGCCGCCTTCAAAATCCATGTACAACGAATATTACCGGAGATAATGAATTTTTTTGTTTTTCAACCCCTTTTCTACCCCCTTAGACGGCCTGACAAACTATGAGTTCACTACCCTCCCATCAAATACAATCAGTAGAATCGTTTGCCGCCTTCAAAATCCATGTACAACGAATATTAACGGAGATAATGATTTTTTTTGTTTTTCAACCCCTTTTCTACCCCTTTAGACGGCCTGACAAACTATGAGTTCACCACCACCCTATCAAATTTGACTCAGGCTCTCACCCCTCTTCAGTCATTATATGAAATGCGTTCAAGTTCCATCTGAAATAGGGTGAAATTTTTGGTGATAAATTTTTCTCGGTGTATTTTGTGGATGTGGCTAACTTCACTCCCGTGATACTGGTCATAACGACCTGGAGGTCGGTGGACATTGCTCGAATACTGAAAGTGGTCATTATCGAAACAGATTGGTGAACATATTATCCAAATTGGACATGACGCCGATATAGGTCGGCAAACAAAGCCGATGGCCAAAAGTGGATATACCATCGGAAAAGGACGCTGATACTGGTTATCACTAGGGTATCTTGATGTAAATTGACGTATTTGTCATCTTAACAGGGTACGGACGGATCCTCGTCTCTTCTCACTCTGAAGTGTTTGTGAAGCAGTTACATAGTTTCATCCTTATTCATTTCCCCAGCGAGCACAAACATCCCTGGGATGTTTTGGGATGTTTTGAAAATGTTGGCATGAAGATGTTATTTTGAGACGTAATATGCACTGACCAAAGAGGTCTATGAAGGATATTGAAGTATTGTTTTTGTTCTTCTGTGGCATTTCTTTGTTTGCCTACTGAGAGGTATCCCTGGGATGTTTTAGAAATGTAGGCATGAGGATGTTTTTTTGAAGCGTAATATGCACTTCCCAAAGAGGTCTTAGAAGGATATTGAAAGTATTGTTTTTGTTCTTTTGTGCCCTTTCTTTGTTTGCCCCACCACAACGTCTCATGCTTACGTCACAATACGATGCATTCTGATTTGTTTTCGATTTTGTTCTTGTTCGCAATTGGCATTCGCGTTTGCAGCGTGTCACGCTTACAGAACAGAAAGGAATTTGGTGAAGTTTATTGTGTTAGAACACTTATTTAGTTTGTAATAATGACCATCAGATGCAAGATGTGTGGTTCGGTGCCTCAGTGTAATCAATATATAAAAGTACGAATTCATCAATACACAGCTTCTCCGCAGTTGCAAAATTAGAGTAGAGTAGAGTATATTTATTTGACTACATTACAATGCATGTTTGTAGCACGTCATAAAAACGACAATACTATAGAAATACATCACATATAGTATAAAAATATTGTAGATTACTGTAAAATAGCATTAAAACATAGAAAATAGATTGAAGAATAAAAAAAACATAGAAGTAGCATAAAATTGGAAATTTGGCGAGACTTGGCATTATGCATTGTGGAGAACATTTAAAAAATTGGGAAACCTCTATTTCCAATTATACGTCTGTGTGTAGTAAGCACTACTCAGAAACGGATTAAGAAGGTAATTTCATATCAAGAAAATATTTTTATGTTCAATCTATTTTTAATGCATTTTTTCATTCCAGGGAAATGGAATCCTAATGCAAAAGTTCATTTTGACAAAAGGCTTCAGAAAAGTACCTCGAAAATGTTTTTTTACAGCGATTTAATGTGCACAAGACGCGTTGAAAATGTTCTGTTGTGTCCATGAAAAGGCTTTAAAAAGAACTAGGGAGAAGGTAGTTTTGTGACATATCAAGGACATCTCGATAATTGCCGCCTGCGGCGGACATTGGCTGTTCTATAATAGTTCTATTCATGTGTGAACAGAACATCGCAGTGGAGGTTCAATGTTTCGAAATCTCGTACTTTTAACATCTTTGAGATGTATTTGTGCTCGCTGGGTCTGGGGGTAAACACTAGATTTCTGACATTTGTTGTTTTTTAGGTTATTTTGAGGACATTGGCGTATCATACGTAATTTCCGGTTAGGGTACCTCGGTATTGCCATTCCCTCACTCACAAGTCGTGTGCCCCTGAGGAGACGTACTTATGTTATCCTGTATCTTATAATGTATAAACTCCTGGCAAAAATTGTTTCCTCTGCTCCAGGCGGCCGAGCACATCAACCAGCACTACCACCGTCTCGACTCCAAGGTCATTGATCGCGGAGAACACCTCCACAGCGCCATGACCTCCCTCCACAACCTCGACCGGTCGCTGGACAAGTTCCTGGCGTGGCTGAGCGAGGCCGAGTCCGCGCTGGAGACGCTCGAAGGGCAGGAGGGGGGCGGCCGAGGTGGGGCGGCCGCGCAGCTGAAGGAGCTGCAGGCGGACGTGGATGGGCAGGCGCACGCGCATCGGGCGCTGCGCAGCTCGAGTCTGGCGCTGCTGGGCGGTCTGGCGCCCGAGGATGCGCTCATGTTGCAGCTGAGAGGGGACGAGATGGAGCGCCGGTGGCAGGTATGATATTTTGTTAGGTTAGCAACAAACTACCAACCTTCACACGTCCTACACTGTGGTCTTCCATTTTTAAACATACGAATTAAATTGGGTTTGAGACAAAAATTGAATATTTACATCATGGCTATCAGGCCAATTTTACTATATGCCTCGGTAGTCTGGGGCCACAGAGCTAAATCTCATATCACCAGATTACAAACATTACAAAACAAAATCGCGAGAATGGTGACAGGATCTCCTTGGTATGTTTGAAATAACCAGATCGCCAGGGATCTGAAACTCCCTTCAATCGTGTCAGTCATTAGAGAATGAAACATCAAGACTTTCGAAAAAGTTGAGGTTCATGAGAATCAGCTAAATAAATGATTAATATTTGGTGGAGGAATATTGATTCATCGCCATTTATTGAAGACAATCCTCAGAAGTTTTTTATGCGAACAAATTGGTTTCAAAGAACTTTTTTACATAACTTCTATCAGATCCTTGAAAATATATGAATTTTCATTTATCATTACCTATGTTGTATATCTAGTAATAACTCATTAAATCATTGAAATGGTTTTATTGAGGAAAAATTACACTCATCATTATTCAGTACAGGAACAGGGTGGCTGGAATAAGAGCCTCATCATTGGGATCTTGTAAATCAGGATAAGGCTATATAAGTGTTTCATCATAAACATTTTTTTTTTCTGATCTCACCTTGATAGTTGTGAAAAAAATAACTCCAACAAATTATAAAACCATTCAACTTTTGAATAAGGATTGGAATTCACTTATCAATCCATAAACGTTATGCAAGGGCTTTGATCATTTCTTTCAGGAAACGTTGGGTGATGTTGCTAAAATCACAATAAGTATCCTGGTTAAAACAAGTGTTGGAATAGGATTAGGCTATATTCCATCATGGAAGAGAATCCACTTTGTTCTCATTGGTGCTCCATTATAGATATATACCACATGTGATCACTTCTGATTATCCTAAAATCAGAATCATATAGAATTCAAGCTTTTAGAAATAAAAATTCTCAGGTAATCCATCCAGCTTGAAACTTACCTTCAACATCGCATTGTCATACGAACAAAATAAAGCGTCAAATTGAAAGGAATTTTTGTGAGGTAGATATGACAAAGTCAATAACTTCAATAAATGTAATTCAGATAATATAATAATTCAACAATAATGCCAGTTTCATCCGGAACCAAGGAACTGAGATTTCCGCTTCCAAATTGAGCCACAATAGAAAAAACATCTTCAGGTGATCAACTGTATTACTAACAAACTGAAGATTGTAAACTTGCTAACCAGATTGTCCTTCAAATGTGTTAACTGATGATGGTCGGTAAAATATGTCTCTTCCGACTAGAGTTGGTCAAACAAAATCATCTTCCATTATAGTCTCTGAAGACAAGAACATCTGACCTTCGCAACCGTCTGGAACACAATGCAGACTACTGGAACGCACTGTTGCTGTCACTGAGGGAACTGACTGAGTGGGTCATCAGGAAAGACACCGAACTCGGTTTGGCAGCTAGGCAAGATGACCATCGAGCATTCAGGTAATAATTATTGCACCTCAATCATGTGAACCACAAAGAACTGATCTCAATTTTGTTCATAACCAGCAGTGTTCATGAATCAACCTGTAAGTTCTTTTGTATCAAACGTCAAAGTGCTCATGAAATCGGTGTGAAAACTTGAAGCAATACAACTTCGAAAGTGCCGTTTGAAAAAATCACATTGATGAAGAATCATTCATGTATTTAACTCATCTTTTTTGTTTGTGTGACTAATCTGCTCATTATGTCAACACATTTGACCTGACGCAACATTTCATAAGTGATGAATAAATGTAACAGTGTCACAGAATATTATCGACTATTCAAGCATGTCCCGATATTACCCAGTATATTTTATCGTTCTGATTTTACTAAAATTTACTTTAGTCATATAACATGTGAACTCAACCATCAATTACATTAACTTGGCGGTTATTGTCTATTCACGGTGGGTTGGACATATACTTAGTATATAAGTAGCCCACTAGGATGGAGCATTTAGTTTTAATCTTCTCATGAAGATGCTAACATAGTTAGGGAAACACGTGTCGAAGTGTGAAAAATCGGTTTGGTTAGTGGTAAAACATAATATAGTGTAAAATTTACTGGCAACGTTTCCGCGGGTCATTACAAGGAACTCTTTTAGAGGCTAAAAGTTTACTGTGGGCCACTTGTGCAGAAATGGTGATATAGTGCCAGTATTCATGAAAAGTTAGGTTAAGCGTTTGAATGGTTTGGTATGAGTCGATAAAAACAATATATTATTTCCCAAAGTATTTTCAAATACTTTGGGAAAATAAATGAAGTCGAACTGGAAGATCTCACAGAGCCAGTAGACGCTGAAACTGCCACTAATCTACAAGATGGTTTGTGATTCCCACTTCTGATATTGATTATTTCACAGCTATCGTCAGCTATGCTTCATTTCTTCATCTCTGGAACCAGAGCTACTAGAGCTTGGTGTTTCTGATGAATCAAAATCACTATCGGATAATATGTCTTCGGAGATAATATGATTAATCACTCCATCCATAATTTCAATGTGAGTAAAGAAGATGGTAAGAATGATGAATATAAAAACCAACAAAACAAAACGTTCTGAAATGAGATGAAAATTCAAAGCTGTTTACTGTTTGGTATTCCTGAATTACTTACTGTGGACAGTCATGCCAGCAATATCGGAACATGACCTATTCATCCTGTATCATTTCTTCGCCTTCCTCGATCATGTTTATCCGGCCATTTTGAAGTTCTCAAATGTGTCATTCAACACGTGAGAAGAGTATTTGTCAATGACACTGGTTCTGAATCATTGACAGAACTAGATAATTCCCTTGCACTTTTCGATTTTCTTAGGCAACAACTAGAAGATAAGAGACCATTAGTGGAGGCCAGTCTGAGGAGTGCCAGGCAATTTGTCGCTGGAGATCCCTCTGGTGAGCTGGCCAGGAACTTGAGGAGGGAACTAGTGAAATTGTCTGACAAATGGAATGCTCTGATCGATAAAAGCGATCAGCTGGCAACGAGGTTCGAACAGAACAGTATTGTGAGTATTTTATGTATCATAATCTCTATAGATATCAATAAAAATGATAGTTATAAGCTTTTTTTCATCTCTTGGAGCGCACGAACGGAAATTCCTATAATAATTTGAGAACATTGTGTGTACCTAGGAAGGATAGAGAGAGGACGTAGGTGTTGGAATTTTTTAAAACTTTTGGAAGGTATGACTTCTTGAGAATACTTCCATTGGCAAAGCTTTCCATAGCTTTGCCGTTCTATAGACGAACGAGTTTTGGTAATGGGTTGTTCGACATATTTCAAAGTTGACAGTGCTGACTGGACCTGCCGAGTTCGTCTGACTGGTGTTGCTAGTGATGGAATTATAGTAGATATTTTTCAGAAACATTTCCCGTGGAAGTATACAAAAGTGAAAGGTTACCGAAGTATTGAGTGAGTGTGGCAACACCCACCAGGCGGATGGTTCTTCTCTGGGTGGAATCTAAGAGCACCAGCATATGTTTGAATGCTGAACCCCATATGTGAGAACAGTATTTCAAAACTGGCCCTATCTGTGTTTTGTAGATCATGAGAAGCTGTTGAGGTGTAAAGTAGATTTTTGCAGGGCATAAAAAATCGAGTTCTTGTGAAGCAGCTTATGGGATGGATTGGACATGATTTTCCCTTGAAAGAGTATTGCTGATGGAAAAACCGTGCATCGATATAGTGGTATTGGTGGGAATTTTGGTACCAGGCATTGTTATATCAGGCATACTTTCTAGAGAAAATAAAGGCTTGAGTTTTGGTGGCGTTGAATTCAACTAAATTATTGGTTCCCCAGGATGTAATTTCAGCAAGATCGTCATTGATAGCGTTGACCTACCTTCGTCGTAGGTTCTCAGTTTCCTGAGTATTGCTGATGGAAATACCGTGCATCGATATAGTGGTATTGGTGGGAATTTTGGTACCAGGCATTGTTATATCAGGTATACTTTCTAGAGAAAATAAAGGCTTGAGTTTTGGTGGCGTTGAATTCAACTAAATTGTTGGTTCCCCAGGATGTAATTTCAGCAAGATCGTCATTGATAGCGTTGACCTACCTTCGTCGTAGGTTCTCAGTTTCCTGGGAAGAAATGGGAATTCTAAAATTGAACACAGTAGAGAGAGTACTAGCGTCTGCAAAACTGTGGACAGGGCAAGTGGTTGGTCCCAACAGGTCAGTGATATGAAGTAGGCACAATGTTGGTGCCAAAATTGATCCTGGTGGAACGTCGAAATTTATGGCAATGGTATCAGACGATAATCCGTCCACCACCACATGAAGCGATCTGCCTGAGAGAATACTCGATAAAAGATGGCATAGCTGTGGTATGATGGTAGTTGTGAAAGGAGTCATAACTCTACAGCTAGAGATTCCAAATATGGGTGACATAGGCAAGTAAATCTCCAGTTGATTTTCGATGGCGACAGCCATATTATCTATCGTTAATGATTCCTGAACTATCCAGATATTCAATGAGCTCAATGTTGGTGACGTTGGAGATGACTGATAACAAGCCTTTAGTGGATAAAAGAAAGAATAATTGTTCATTCAGTTATTTTTGGTCTGTTCCAGAAATTGAAGCAGCTGACCATGAGCCTAGAAGAAGCTTCTTCGGCAGTTTCCCGACTGGAACGAGCGACTTTGAGTTGGAGCGGACCGAGAAGTGCAGCTGAAGCCAGAGAACTGCTGTCGAATCTGCGTACACTGGAACAGCAACTGCCTTCTTTGCAAAGGAATCTGGAAGAGGCCAGAATCCGAGCAGCAAATATAGGTATGGATAAGTCGTGGAACATTATTCAATTTTCTATAAATCTGTTTTTTTTGCAGGTAATGGACTGCCAAATAATCTCGCTGCCCAATTGGAGGATTGCACTGCGAGATGTAGAGCCCTCCAAGCGGCCATTAGAGAACGGAGAGACCAGTTGACAAGTAGTACACAAGGTGAGTGAGTCTTGTTTGAAAAAAATTAATCCGATTCTTCTACTTGAACTCAAACACTATGATACACAATACAAATTGACAATAACACGTATCTCTCTAATATAGCTGGAAAAATCACCTCCAACTGATTTCTCAATTTGCTATGTATTTCTTACTGATCCTACCCTTATCATGCTACCTGCTGCAATGGGGAAGTTCTTATCTCACTGTGAAGTTTGTAAAAAAATTAATATATACCTATATTTTCTTTTTTTTTCGTGAGATCAAATTTCACTTCAGAAAAAAATGAATAAAAGAGGAATTTGGCGCCTCCACCATTCCTATGACGTACTTTCCCTGTGCCAATATGACGTTGCCGACATCATCTATATGTTTCCAGAAATTATTCTTTGAGTGCATAATAACTATATAACTATATGTATTATGAATAATTCCCATAAATCTCTCATTAGCTGAATGAAGTTGATTACTAATAAAGATAAATTATGATATTTTGCGATAGTATCTGTAATTTTCCACCATCGTTATATTACAATATGTTATTCATAACTTGTCAGTCATTTTCTGTCAATGAATTCGTTCCTTAATAAAACGAATCTATTGTCTAGAAAAGTTGCAGATTATGTCATGTAACAGCGCCTAATACTTCGAGTCCGTCCACACCACTTAAAATACTGACAGGCACAACAAGAGGAAGGAGCCATGGGTGTCGGCTTCATTCTGTTCTGACCGATGACAATAAATTAGGAAGGATAGTATCATTGGATGTAGCCGATAGTGATTCATTGATTCAATGATATTTTTGTTTTGGATCGAGTTCTATTCGAGATATTTCAATGCATAAATAACGAAACCATAACCTGTCAGAATGAAGCCAATGGCATAGCACCAAGTTGTTGAAAAAAGGCTAACAATGATCTCTGGAATTTGCTCCAAAATTTATTCTGAATATCTTTTTCTGAAGCACAAATACTTTATGGGCATGTGGAGAGTTTTTCCACAAAATCACACCATATATGAGTTGTCGAAAAAGGAAGACATTTCGTGCCAACTTGTTTAATACTTTTAATATGTGAGTGGCCCAGGAAAGCTTCACATCTAGGGTTATGCCCAAGATTTTCGCAGAATCATTACTAGAAATCAGGTTATCGGAAGAAAAATGTAAATTTCGAGTCTTGGTTGGGTTGAGTTTGAGGTTATTTGCTGAAAACCATGATCTAGAAAGCTCTTCAGCGCTTGTTTTCAAAGTGTTCAACATATCTAAATCTTCATGGGATGTGATAATGGCTGTGTCATCAGCAAAATGGGTAGTTTTTGTGGGTAAAGATTGACTACCTTGGTTGAATTCCTATATACTATCAGCCGATACATTCAATCTACTAGTTTTGCCTACTATCAAAAATATCTCATTTGTTGATTTGGTTTCCGAAAATAGGGATTTTAAAACGACCATATTGCATTGGGTCCTTATGAGAAATCTTAGTTTCCCACCTTCACGGCAAAATTTGTCGATTTTCCAGCGCCATCTAGCCGTTCGTGATTCTTGCTAATAATATCGACAATGTACTGTAGCACCTTCGCCGTCGAAAAAAAATGTCCGGCATTTAATCCGTCCGTGCAGCAAATAGGAGATCCTAGATAGCCGCTATCCACCGTCCACACGTGTCTAGCTATACCATTTCCATCGGTGGCTCCCTGAATTATCTGACAATATTTTTTTTTTTTTTCTTTGTTCTATCCGTCATTCGGTTGCCCCCTTACGAGCAACCCTCAAAAGTCTTCGGAAGTCTTGTGCGAGCAAGGAATGACGGGGGCCTTACCTTTTAACGTGTGATCCCAAACACTTTCTTGGGCCATCAGAAAAAATTCTGCAGTCGACGGGGATCGAACCCACGACCGGCAAGCGAATGCGAATTAGAATATAGACACTCTGTCCGCACGGCTACCTGGCCACCAAATATGTCGGAATCAAAGATGAGACACAGAAATGGTTCACTAATTACCTACACCAACGCAAATGTTCAACTATTATAACAATAGCAGGCACTACAAACTTCTCTAACTCAACAGACATCAAATCAGGTGTTCCACAAGGATCAATACTAGGACCAGGACTCTTCAATATATTCACAGCAGATCTGCCAAATCATGTTCCAGAAGGTTGTTTATGTACAATATTTATACGGTTTTGCACAAGACAAAATTGGATATGTTTTCAATACTATAAACACTGAAGTTGATTCTATTGTAGATTGGTGTGACAATAATGGTTCATAAGTTAACCCTACAAAAACTCAAGTCAATTTCAATGTGCCTTCATGAAACTGAAGCATCTTTATCAAATCAGAAAGGTGCTATCGACTAGAGCTAAAATCATATTTAGTGACTCTTTGGTGTTATCCCTGTTCAATTACTATGACTGTGTCTATGTCCCATTTCTGACAGAAATTACCAAGAATAAGATTCAAAGGCTACAAGATGCATGTATTCTATTCTGCTTCAATCTGCGACGTAGAGAATTATAAGAATATTGGGTGGATCAGGATGAATGAGAGAAGGCAATTGCATATTTCATCTTTGATATTCAATGTTTATAAAACAAAGTCACCTGGATATTTTTACAAAAAGCCCGCATTCAGAAACGAAATACTTGATAGATATACTCGCTATCCAATGCAATTGAATATACCTCATCATACCGCAAACTTCTTCAAATGTGGCCTTTCATATATTGCTCCGAACATAATGAATCAAGTGTTCTACCTACCCTAAAAAGGGGGTCAGGTTTTTTTTAAACACCCTGTATATGCACTATTGAAGTACCTATTGGTGTAAATACTATTCTGCAAGAGGCAATTCTTTCTTCATAGAAATATTTTTCAGGTTAGCAAATCGTACAGTGAACCTACGGTTCTGGTTCATCCCCGTGAAGGTCAAAACTTTTTTTAAAAATTTATCATCATATCTAAGTAATTGATCTAAGAATATTCATCCAGGCCGAGTAACATAAGCAGGTTTAGAAATAGCCATTTGTTTTACTAGGCTCTCAATCTACTTTGCTGCCATGTGAAACATATACTTTTTTCTCAAAATGTTATAAAACCAATTTTGTGTAACTTTTGCATTGAAAACTACTCCATCATTTTGGGTTCACCCCAATGTCAGTTTATAGTAACATACTTTTGCTGCCTAGGCAGATAAAGTACACCTTTTCTGCCTGTTGAATGTCATCGAAAAGCCACTTTCAATGCCATTTGGAGACAATAGTAGATTATTTTATTAGGATCAAAAGTGACACTTTGTTCGACAAGCGAATTTTGCATTTGCGAGGCGGAGCGTTTAGCGAAGCCGAGCGAAAGCAAAATTTGCGAGTTGAACAAAGCCACTTTTGATCCGAATGAAACATGCTATTTTTTCTGCAACCGAAACAATTAACTCAAATGAACATGTGAAGTAACCACCAATGCCGTGCCATATGTATGCAATGCAACAAATATTGACAAATATTCTACCTGCATTAACAGCAGGTTAGGTTTTCTAGGATTTTCGAATTGTAGTTTCAATATAAATACCACCACAGAGTGACATATTTGTGTATGGACCAGGTGCTCTAATGGCAAATACCGCGCCAGTGCCAGCTATATAGGAACAAGACGTGGAAAATGTTAGGTTAGTGAGCATATCAACAATGATAATAGTGATTATTTATTCCTCTCCATACTACACTGTGTTCGATTTGATAATCAAATGAAGCTAAACAATATCGTTGTTTGAGACAAAAAAACTATTGCTTGCCGTGATTATTCAAAAACAAGTTATCCATCCCGAGAATAACGAATGAAATACAGATCAAACAAGTATTTGAATTTTGAAGGCTTTCCTGATCATAACAAAAATACTTAACTGAGATGTTTATAATTCCAATACTAAACTATGATAAGGTGAATTTATATCTCCAGCATGGGTATGAAATGCCAAATCTGCTGAAATCGGAAACAAATCAGGTATGCGTCTCAACCCAGATAACCAACCGTCACAATGTTGTTTATTCTTGATGACTTCCAGTACATCATTTTTAGTTCCTAGGAGCTAAAGTTCAACTTTAGCTCCTAGGAACTAAAATTCAACTTTAGCTCCTAGGAACTAAATATGTTGCCTAGCAACATACCTATTTTTGTGTCAGTAATAGAAACGTCAATTTAAGAGCTGATTTTGGTATCAAAATGGACGACTTTTGTGTCGGTTGCAGAAAAAGGTAGTTTTCTCTCATGCAAAAAGGATTTTCCTTCCTTTATATTACGTTATTACGTCTTGGGAATTCAGAGAGCCACTGCTGAAAATGAGATAGCTAGACGCTTTTCTACCGTTAAAAATTAGAAAATTACACAACTTGCCGGCGATAATTAAAACGGAAATCTACATAAATCTATCGCCGCCGGCTGAACTTTTTTATCGTTGTTTCTATGCAATCGTAAAATCGAATGAATTTGTGTGTGAGTGTATGTGCGAAGAACAAATGAAATCATGTGGGCGTCTTATATAAATAATAACTGAGGTGATCGACACACACGTGCTGTTGCAGAGAAAGTGCCTTGCTGTTTGTTTTCTCGTTAGTTTTTCTCGATCTTTTCGGCGATTGGCAGCGATTTTGAGTGGTGATGAACAGAAAGCGAAATGGTATGGATTTGTTTTTTGATATTATTGCTCGTATTGTCATTATTATTTCGCTGTGTACAGGGTGATTCAAACTTCCCGCCCTTCGCTCAAAACAGGAAAAGTGAAACTGCAAATGCGAATTCGGCAAAGGGGATTTGAATAGCTGTGTGTAAGGTATATTTTTTCGTATTTAAACATATTTCAACTCTTTTCAAAATGGCGGAAATGACGTCAGAAAAGTCAATTTTTCCAGAAAGACACCATTTTTTTCTCAAAAAACATATTTTTTAAACGTCTTTCATCCCAAAACTCTTTTTCTATCTTCATTGAGTTGATAGCTGTGGAACTCCAAAGTTTGCATTTTCAAATAAACCTCAAATGACCCCGCCGTACTAAGAATCAAGTCTGTCGGAAAACAAATTGATTTATAAGCAATTCACTACATTTTGCATTCATTTGAAACCCATTGAAGCTACAAACCGGCCGAATTGATTTTTTAAGTCCCATGGCTATCAACCAAATGGAGAAGAAGAGAAAAAAACTCCTGGATGGAAGTGGTTTAAAAAAATATGTTCTTTCAGAACATTAGAAAAAATCGGTCGGCCGGTTTTTTGCTTCAATCGGCTTCTAATGAATGCAAAACGTATCAAATTCATCAAATTGCTCAGAAAACAATTTGTTTTCCGGCAGACTTGATTTTTATTACGGCGGGGTCATTTGAGGTTTATTTGAAACTGCCAACTTTGGAGTCCCACAGCTATCAACTTGATGAAGATAGAAATGAAGTTCTAAGATGAAAGATGTTGAAAATGATGTTTTTTCAGAATATGAGAAGAAAATTGTGACTTTGTGGAAAAAATAACTTTTCTGACGTCATTTCCACCATTTCGAGAAGAGTTGAAATATGTTTAATTACGAAAAAATATACCTTACACACAGCTATTCAAATTCCGTCTGCCAAATTTGCATTTGCTGTTTTACTTTCTTTGTTATGATCGAAGGGCGGGAAAAAAATGTTTCAACTTCAAGTAAGTCAAGCACAAACTAGTTAATTCGTTCACTTCAAATATTTTTTGTTCTTGTATTGTAGACCTTTCAATTAGGCTGAAGATGGTCTTTTATAAGACCGCGAAACATGTCCCTTATGATTATGTAACAACATAATTAAAATTTGTAGAGGTGACTTCGAGCATTTCTTCCTTCCTGTGAAATATGTCACTCCACTGTGAGCAATATGGACTTCTACCGAAGATTAACCTTCGAGTGACCGTTTTCTCAGGCGAAATATCCCCCGGCCCTTCGAGCGTCCAGCCGCCCTGGGAGCGCGCCGTCACGCCCTCCAAAGTGCCCTACTACATCAACCACAGCACCGAGACCACCCACTGGGACCACCCGCAGATGCTCGAGCTCGCCCATCGGCTGCTGCAGCTGAACGAGGTGCGCTTCTCGGCGTACCGCACTGCACTCAAGCTCAGGGCCATACAGAAGCGGTTGTGCTCCGATTTGGTCGCCATCAGGTGAATAAGTTTCCTATATTATTAAGGTTCTTATCTCACTGTGAAGCTTGTAAAAAATTAATACAGGGTGTATCTCAAATGATGACTTTGATTTCAGGTGGTGATTCCTTGTCATATTTCATGACAAAAAGTTCATATAACCGTGTGTCCTAACTTGCTCCGTTTGCGAGTAACGGGGTGTCCAAAGTTTAATGAAATGTCGGTTTTTCATTAATTACTCAAAAACAGTCCCACCGATTTTGATTGAACTTCGTGTGTTTGTGATCTCTAATACAAAGCTTCTTTTCATGAAAGTAGATTTTGATTTTTGTTTCCAGTGGTAAGGCGTAACCTGATTGATATTTACGATAGTAACTATTGTACGCTAATTACCAAGGTTGAAATTCCTACGTACCATTCTGAAATTCGCTCACTTGAAAACAATTTATTATTCACTAGTACAATCACGACTACAATACGGAATCCTAAGTTGGGGTGGAGTATCCTATAATCACCTGAGACAATTGGACGTTTTACAAAAGAGAATATTGAAAACAATGTGCTTCAAAAATATTTCATATTCATCGCATAAACTGTTTTTGGAGGCACGTGTAATGGATATAAGACAGATATATATGTATAATATGATATTATATCTATACAATAATAGAAAACTTCTTGAGAGAGTCGATCACAATTATCCGACGCGTAATAAATTGAAAGATAACCTCAAAATTTCATCAGTTAATAAAACTATTAGCCAAAAATACTACTCATATTTGTCATCGAAACTATTTAATGGATTGCCTGATAGGTACAAGCTTTATTTGAGAACCATAAACTCAGTTAATTTGGTGAAAAAAATATTCAAAACCTATGTACTTCATCAACCTAGAACAGAGGTCAGGAAACTCATGGATTAGGTCTAAATTCTGTACTTACTGAAATGAACGATCAGAAACTGTTATCGTCCTATATATACAGGGTGTTTCAAAAAAACCTGACCCCCTTGCTAGGGTAGGTAGAACACTGCAAAATGCAAGTTGGGTTTGCTCAGTGAAAAAATGTCGTAATCTGTTTTCAAGATACAAGGTTTTGAAAAAATTATTTTTTTACACATTTTTCACGATTATGTCGAAACTACTGGCAACATTGTGATGAAATTTTGTATGAGTGTTCCTTGAAATCTGACACATCACATGAATTTGTTTTTATATCTGACTTTCATAGAGGGCGCGAGTTACACGTTTCGTACCGAGTAGTTTAGATCATAACTTTTTGAGGTTAGATTTTTCAATCCAAATATGACATGAACTTGAACATCATTCAATTTTACATCAAAAAGGTACACTTGGTGAAACTCGATACAATGTTCCGTTTTCGGAATATTTCGATTTGAAAATAATGGAGCAATAGCTATGCTGGTATAAAATGAATATTATTGAGTTCAATTACCTATTTATTCAGATTCAAAAACAATAAAATCATTCTTGCACTGGAGTTATTGATGGAACAAAGAGTCATAAGTAGTAAATTAAGAGATATTTGACTAGAAACATGAAATATTGAATCAGTTAGTGTAAGTGTTCAAAATGTCCTACGTTTCGACGAATACACGATTCTAATTTCTTTTCTTGAGAATGTATTATTCTTTTAAACAGTTGAGAATCAGCTGTTAGGTCATTTGAGTGATGTACAATTATGTCTTACAACTCTTGACGTGAATTTACCTATGTAGCATAAACTTTCAAATCGAAATATTCTGAAAACGCTACACAGTATCGAGTTTCACCAAGAGTACCTTTTTGGTTTTAAATTGAATGATGTCTAAGTTCACATCAGATTTGGATCGAAAAATCTAACCTCAAAAAAGTTATGTTCAAAACTACTTGGTACGAACCGTGTAACTAGCGCCCTCTATGAGAGTCAGATATAAAAACGAATGCATGCGATGTGTCAGATTCCAAGAAACATTCATACAAAATTTCATCACAATGTTGCCAGTAGTTTCGACAAAATCTCGAAAAATGTGTAAAAAAAATATTTTTTCAACACCTTGTATCTTGATAACGGATGCCGTTACGAAATTTTCTTACTAAGTAAACCCAACTTATTTTGCAGTGTTCTACCTACCCTAGTTAGGGGGTCAGGTTTTTTTGAAACACCCTGTATATATATATATTGTTTTGTATTTTTCTATAATTTTATCAATTAAATTAATTTAATTGTTGTCCATTAATGTCATTGCAATTATTGTCACTGAAGCCGTCATTTTATTAATTATATTATTCTTATTTATGTTATTATCACCATACTATTTCATTGTTATAGATATGATCAAAAAGTGTATCATTCCTTGAATGTACATGTACTTGTAAACAATGATATAAAGATAACCCATGCTCGACCGTAAGGTTCTAATGGGTTTACTCGTACTTGTTTATACATTACATGGTATTCATCGAATCATTTTATAATACCATGTTATATTGATGAATAAACATTATTATTATTATTAAATGTTGTCGCTGAGTTTGATATCATTGGAAATTAATAGCTAACATTTATGCAATCAAAGTCACAAGGCGTAGAAATGAAAGGAAGCTTCGTATTAGAAATCACAAACACACGAAGTTTAATCAAAATCGGCGAACAGTATTTTGAGTAATTCATGGAAAAAATATATTTCATTGAACTTTGGACACCCCGTTACTCGGAAACGGAGCAAGTTAGGACACACGTTTATATGAACTTTACGTCATGAAATATGACAAGGAATCACCACCTGAAATTAAAGTCATCATTCAAGATACACCCTGTATATACGTATCTTTTCTTTTTTTCGTAAGATCAAATTTCACTTCAGAAAAATAAAAATAAAAGAGGAACTTGGATCCTCCACCATTCCTATGACTTACTTTCTGAAAATCCACATTCACACAGAGTTAAAATACGATTTCCTGTGTCAGTACGACGTTGCCGACTTCATCAATGTGTCTAGATTTACGGAAATTGTTCTTTGAATGCATAATAATTATATGATAACAGATAACAGCAACGATGATGATGATCGCACAGAAACTTCAGCGAGACTTGCTACGCGGGGGCCTGTGATACTTTCGTGAATTTAGGAGCTCGCGAGATCACGAGCTCTCAGAATTAGCACGATTGTTTTATTTTGCTTATGAAAACCCAACGGACTGTCTAGGGGATTTCTAGAAGCATCGGTAGACTCGTATACCAGTCCACGCTTTTTATAGATTCCATGTTCTGTCCTAGTAGCAGTAATGCCCCTAGTGGCCCTAGTCAGAGTTGCATGCCCATCTTTTCGCCAATCCACTCAATGGAACATCCGTCGATCAGTTGTCAGGAGATCAGTCTCCTTGTCGCCGTTCTTCATCTGGCATTGTCTCCTTGTAATCGGGAATGTCCGAAAGAAATATGTTTGTCGAGTACACCATCTGTATCTGTATCTTTTCGGTCTATCACAACACAATGTAACCGTTGAATGTGAAAAGTGCATTGTTCAGTAACCTATTGTTTCTCATTGGTCGGCGAGGTTCAAAATCGAATGTGTATTTTTTTTTGTCTTTAACCACTAGTTGAGTGAAAGGAAAAAACTACATCGGTGGTGAAATATCAGAGTGCACAATTTGAAAATGTGTGAGTTATGGTAGGTTCTAAAGCTACTTTTGGAAAATATGGCTATTAAATTCAGAATAATAAAAAACATCGACACATCTCATGTCTTTCTTTCTTCCGCATCGTGACTTGACTAATCTATTGTTCTCGTTTGAGGTCAGTATATCTAGCGGGTATAAAAAGAATACGTATCAAACATGGTATGGACCTACATGAGGCTGTAGATGAAAAAGTGGAAGTTTGTTGTTTGGTATACAGGTTTGCCATTCATCCATTCATCCATTCATTTTTCCAGCCGTATACTCATTCATCCGAGACTTTCTCACTGAATTACTTCAAAATCTGAGATTCTTTCTCCAGTTTCAAACCATATTTAATTCTCGAAATAGTGTTCCATTTGATTTTTGAATCAGTCTCTCCCAGCGTCCTCAAGTGAGGACGACATTTTTCGAAAATTCAGAAAAAATAGCAAACATTATCATGGTATTTGAATGTTTTCCACATTAAAATACAGTGTGACCCACAAACACCCCTGTATCTGACGTAATCGTTGGGTAAGGAGCCTGAAATTTTCTGGAGCGAAAAATATACCAAAAATGCACTCTACGACCAAGTGGGAACATTTTCAGTAATATACACTGCTCAATAGGTCAAGAATCACTTTAGATTCGGAATCAGGACGCCCAATTCACTAGTTATTTATATTTTTCCTGGAAAATTTTCAGTTCTGAAAAATTAAATTTTGTCGCACTTTTTACAGAAGCACCCCCGTATCTTACGTAATTGACTTCATCTTTGGACTTTCCCTTTCTCTTGCAAATTCAAGAACCCTACCTCAATAATTACGTGATAAACGGGGTGCTTCCATGAGAAGTGAGAAAAATTTCATTTTTCTGAACTGAAAATTTTCGAGGAAAACTATGGATAGTTAGTAAATTGGGCGTCCTGATTCCGAATCCGAAGTGATTTTCAACCTATTTTGACTCCTAATATCATTTTCCGGATATTGTGTTGGTTCCATGGCTGTTGGCGAGTAGTGTATATCACTGAAAATCACCCCACTTAGTCATAGAGTGGTTTGGTATATCTCCCGCTCCAGCACATTTCAGGATCCTTACCCAACGATTAGGTAAGATACAGGGGTGTTTTCATTTGAAGTGGGTCACACTGTATAGCTATAATCAAATGAAACAGTAATAATTCGGCTCGCTGTGTAGATAAGAACCAGCGCTCGTCATAATTTCATGTCAACTGGTTTTCTCCATATATGTTGGGGAATTCCTGAATGAAATATTCAATAATATTAACAGTACTCCCTTCTAACGTACGCACTCTGTAGTTTCCCTTGAACAGTCCCTTGTCCCAAATTTTATATCATCAAGTTTCCTCCATATAAATGTTGTATTTTTTTCACATGAATGTTGGAAGGTATGAACACGGATATAACGATATAAGTATAACAAACACTATCCTGCAAACCCGATACGCCTGTAGTTTGAAGAGACACTAGAACTCATATAGCTTATAGTCATAGTCATATTGGAGCTTGTAGCTCCATACTCGCGACTGATAGATGAAAGTGGGGGAAGTTATTAGGCGTGTGTGTCGTAAATGTTACGGCAAGCACCGTTGAATAAATTAAAATTATTGTTCAGTGCCGCGTCGGAGGCTTTCGACCTGCACGGCCTCCGAGCGCAGAACGACAAGCTGCTGGAAGTGGCCGACATGGTGCTGGTGCTGAGAGCGATCTACGGCAACGTGGCGGCCCAGGAGCCCGACAAGGTCGACGTGCCTCTGTGTGTTGATCTCGCCCTCAACTGGCTGCTGAACGTCTACGATAGCCAGAGGACCGGGCAGCTGAGAGTGCTCAGTTTCAAGGTGAGAACGAAAATGTGCGAGAACTTATAAACTGCCCGGTAATGACATATTTTTTGCAACGTTTTTCTTAATGTATGCAACTTTCAAGTAGTGATTTCCATGGGTTTTCAACATTCAACAACAACAACACTATTGTTTAACTTCTTCATCAATGACATTGGTGACATAATTGAACTGAATTTTTTATTGTATGCTGATGATCTAAAAATTTTCTCCCCTATCAATAATATGAATGACTGTGAGAAACTATCGGAAAATCTTAATCAGATCAGCCAATGGTGTAGTCGTAATAATCTAGCGTTGAATCCTGCCAAGTGTTGCGTAATGTCGTATACACTAAGATCTGATCCAGTTCTATTTGACTATAAAATAGACAATCATTCTCTAGACAGACCATCTAATTTTAAGGATCTTGGAGTTACCTTCGACCGAGAGCTGTCTTTCCAAAACCATGTAGACAATATAAGTACGTCAGCAAGCCGTATGTACGGATTTCTAATTAGAGTAGGCAACGACTTTAATCATGTGACACTCAAAACTCTTCACTATGCTTTTGTCAGATCGAAGCTAGAATATGCGTCACTTATCTGGAACCCATATTATCAAGTGCATGTCTATAAACTGGAGGCAATCCAAAGACGCTTCCTCAAATACTTAAGTTTCAAAGCAGATCGGACTTATCCACCAATTGGCACGTCACACGAGAGTTTACTGTCAAGACATAGCTTTTTCAGCCTGGATCAAAGACGGAAATGTTCGGGTGTCATTACGCTACATAAAATAATTAACAATAAAATTAGATGTCAATGCTTACTACATCAGATAAACTTCAAAATTCCCCGTCAGGCATCTCGATGCACCGACTCATTCTACATTACCACGCCACGAACAAATATATACAAAAACTCTCCTGTTCATACTATGTGTAGCAACTATAACTTAATAAGTAACCAGCTTGATATATTTCATTGTAATGTGAGGCAAATCAAAAACTATTATTATCAGCAGTAATATTCTTGTATTAATCTCTTACTTTTTACTAATGTAGTCCTATTGTGTAAATTGTGTATTATGCCAAGTTTTTTCTATTGTTTCTTTCTATTGTTTATTTTCTATTGTTCACTTTTGTGCAAATTTTTACTTAGTTCCTGTTCTGTAATTGGAAATCTTTTTTTCTGTAGAACAGTGTAAATAAATAAATAAATAAATGTCCTAGACAATTATCAATTTGTGCTGTCATGCAGCAGCGTAACCAATCAAATTTGAATTTGTAATGAAAATTGATGATTTCCAACCGATTTCGATCCATTAGAAATCACATCGAAATGGTTTCATTTACGTACTTTTTTTTCTCAGATCTTCATTCGTGCATGGCTGTTATTCATCGATTGTCGTTGATATCTCTCCTATTTGCAATCTCAAATAGTTTATACAGTCTATTGTCGTGAATCAGTATCTTATTTAGCTCCTGAAAACAAAATAGTCTTTCGAGTTTCTATTAGACAAGGTCGACGTGCCTCTGTGTGTTGATCTCGCTCTCAACTGGCTGCTGAACGTCTACGACAGCCAGAGGACCGGGCAGCTGAGAGTGCTCAGCTTCAAGGTGAGGACGAAAATGTGCGAGAACTTATCGACTGCCCGGTAATGACATATTTTCTGCTACGTTTTTCTCAATGTATGCAACTTTCAAGCAATGATGTTCATGTTTTTTCAACATGTCCTAGACAATAATCAATTTTTCATTTGTGCATGGCTATGTTATTCATCAATTGTCGTTGATATCTCCTATTTGCAATCTCATATAGTTAATACAGTATACAGGGTGTTACAGAACTATGGGATCAAACTTCTAGGGGTTATTCAGTGCAACAGTAGAAAACATTTGAGTATTGGAACCCATGTCCGGAAAAGTGTCACTAAGGCACTACGGCCTAAGACGCGTTAAAATTCAGAAAGACGATGAATTGCCTAAATAGGATTTAATGCATTTAATTTTTGCCTTTTGTACATGATATCATCGCAACAATTGTTCAAAATGTCAATGTCAATGTTTAAAAATTAGCTGATGATTTTAAACAATTTACCGGCGCTTGTGTGTTGTTATCTTTAAAAACGATAAAAGAGGTTGTTTTTTGTGGCTGCATTCCATATCGCTTTAGTCGTGCTATCGTATTTGTGAAGTTTGCAAGAATTCAACAAAAATTAATTGTTGCTAATGGAAAACTTTACCAATCAAGAATTGGCGGATATGCATTTGGCATACGGAGCAACAAGCTGCAATGCACGAGCAGCAGCGCGGTTGTATCAAGAACGTTATCCCGAACGACAGCATCCGGGATACAAAAAGTTTATTGCTATTCATCGGCGGCTCTCCGAGACAGGCATGTTTAGAACCAACATGCATGATACTGGTGTTGCTCGAACCGTAAGAACGGTCGAATTTGAAGAAGAGGTCCTTCAGCGAGTTGCCGACGAACCATCAAGTAGCACACGTCACATTGCTATGGATATGAATTCGACTAACGCTTCCGTCTGGCGGGTGCTACACGAGCAACAACTTTATCCTTACCACTTTCAGAAAGTTCAAGGATTGACTGCAGCCGATTATCATCCTAGAGTTCAATTTTGTCAATGGCTTCTTCATCAAATCGCTGCACAACCAAATTTTTTATGCTATGTTTTATGGACCGATGAAGCCTCTTTCACAAGAGACGGTATTTTTAATAGTAGGAATAGCCATGTTTGGGACGAAGAAAATCCCCATGCAATTTTTCCTAGGAAACATCAGCAACGTTGGTCTGTCAACGTATGGGCAGGCATTGTTGATGATTATTTGATTGGGCCATACCTTCTACCGGAACGGTTAACAGGACCTATTTACCGGCGTTTCTTGGAGGAAGTTCTTCCAGAACTTCTTGAAAATGTTCCACTAAACGTTCGACAGCAAATGTGGTTTCAGCATGATGGAGCGCCGGCTCACTTTGCTGTACAAGTACGTGAGGATTTGGCTCAGCGGTTTGGGCACCGTTGGATTGCCAGAGGTGGAGCAGTTTCTTGGCCTCCTAGGTCACCCGATTTAACGCCGCTAGATTTTTTCCTGTGGGGACATGTGAAGTCTTTGGTCTACGAAACTCCAGTAGAAACAGAGCAAGACTTAATTGGACGAATTATAGCAGCATTTGAAATCATTCAAAACAATGATCAAATTTTTATTCAAGTCCGCCGAAATCATGTGCGACGTTTAAATCGGTGTATTCAGGTTGGAGGAAGACATTTTGAACAATTGTTGTGATGATATTATGTACAAAAGGCAAAATAAATGCATTAAATCCTATTTAGGCAATTCATAGTCTTTCTGAATTTTAACGCGTCTTAGGCCGTAGTGCCGTAGTGACACTTTTCCGGACATGGGTTCCAATACTCAAATGTTTTCTACTGTTGCACTGAATAACCCCTAGAAGTTTGATCCCATAGTTCTGTAACACCCTGTATTGTCGTGAATCAGTATCTTATTTACCTCCTGAAAACAAAATAGTCTTTTGAGTTTCAAGGTCTGTTGTCAGTGCTTACCGTGGTTCGCGATTCTGGTTTTGAATATTTATGCACTGTGTTGTTTTTGTGGAATGGTAGCCAGCCTTCTTCGATATGCGCGAGCGTTCTAAGTTTAAGTTTAAAGTTTTAACGATGAAGATTTCACTCTTTCAGTTCTCATTCCATTTATCAGATTGTTATCGTTGTTACGTTGTTTACATTTTTGATCAATAATATTCAGCGAAGACGTCACTGTCAGTTTGTTGACTGTTGACAGATGATCGATACTTGCGACCTGGTCTGCTTTCTTTTGAAGGACAATAACTTTCTTCTCATGATTCTTCGTTTTTTAAGCAATGGTCAACACCTGTCATTGACAGTGGTTCATTTTTTTTGTTGCTATCAAATGGCCTTTAAATTGAGTGATCATGGAAGGACTAAGCATACCACAATATCTGGATCTTCAAAAATAGTGCATTGTTGTTAAATTGAATAGTAGGTGTGATAACCCTATTGTTTATGTCTCGTTCGATGAAGTCGCTCGTTCATCGAAAAAGAAGAGGATTTCGTTATGGGTCGACGTAGTTCCGAGGTCATGTCTGCGCATGTCTCCGTTTGAATAATTGTGGTCGTGGCTAAACGGCTTTAACCGCCGAAAAATCAATTTCCACGAAAACTGAATGTAAAATGGTTAACATTTACTAATATCGGGTAAATTGGGTATTTTCTTGTTGGAGCTAGGATATTTTCTCATCTGTTTGTGGTGATGAAATACCATCTACATTGTTTTCGCGGTTTTTGAGAAAAAAGACCGATCTTATGATCGAAGGACGGCCCATCATCTCGAGGAGACATCTCGCCATTTTTCTGCTGGAAAGGGATCCAACTCGTGTGACAAGTAAGCCAGAGATTCGATTTCGCATTGTACATATTTTGATTTATTCTTTCTCCATTAGTGTTAGGATTATTTCGAATTTAATTCCTATTCAACGGGAACCAATTTTGGTGTTGGTACCATACCTCAAATTGGAGGGATTTTAGGCTGAAAGCCACGAGGTCGACATCACCCTATCAATAACCTGAACACCATTACAGTTTTAATCATCTCCTGAAGATGCTAACATAGTTAGCGAAACACGTGTCGAGGCGTTAAAAAATCGGTTTGGTTAGTGGTAAAACAGTGTAGTGTATTATCGTGCCAAAGGTTCCAGTCTTCGATATACGATTACAGGTATGAGATTTTATTTTGATTATTTATCGAGTGGCGAAACATTTATTTTTTTGTCGTTTAGGGTTCTTATTTTCCCCGGAATTATCTCCTTTTGCCCTAGGTTCCGATTTGTCCCGCCATCCACCTCGAGTCGTCCATTGGGGGCACGTTGCTCCAGTTACACACGGGAATTTTTTTTTGATCAGGAGTTAGAGTTACTGCCCATTTTTGCAAGCCCTGATGGTGATCCAGGAGCCCTGAGAACACCTGGTACTTTGCTGGCGAAGGAGTAGTAGTCTCCCAAACTGTACCATTTATGAGTTGGTATAATCACCTCGTATATTATGGAAACCAATATGCGCTGCGGTATTGCTTCATTACCTTGTCGATAAATAATATTACCATTTTTGTGATAAATTGAGGGATGTACTGTAAGAGTTGATTTCAGTCCCTATTTTGGTATAAAACCTTTGCCAATTGCTTGTTTTCCTTCAGATCAGTACAAATTTTCAATGAAGTCTGTGTTTTTCGATATTTCTTGTTATTAAATCGATATTACCTATTATTAAATCGATGTTTACCCTACTTTACTTTGGCATTTAATGTACCCACCCCATTGTGCCGCTGAACTACCAGTGTTTGGTTTCTACAATCACAAACTAGGCACAATAAACACTATATTTCGTAGCAAAACTTATGAGGTTTAAAATACCAAGTAAATCTCAGGCAAGTAAACAGCAAACTCAGGGATAGAATTTTTAACTAAATTCTATCATTTATTACCCCCTGAAATTTGCAAAGTTATAGCATGCAAATTGGATTTTGTTCTGTGTTCCCTACTGCTAAATGTCATCACAACTTCATCTGATAACTTTCAAAATCCGCCAATAATGTTTTGTGATTCATTGGTGCTGTTCTTCTTCTCCTCTCTTTTGAGTTTAGGTATAACCAAGAGTTCTAGGATAAACAGAGTTGCCCCAATTATCAACAGGAGCGAGACAGTGCCTCTGCGTCTTCGAAATGGCTAATATATCCGAATCGTAGTTGTCCAAGAAACAGTACTGTCTCGCACCTGCTGACAATTGGGACGACTCTGTTCATCCTAGATCTCTCAGTTTAGAGATCTGGTTAATTTGAAGAAACAAGTTGATGTTGACCACTTGACACTGCATATTCGATATATTTCTGTCGGTCGGTTTGACGCTGCTGTCGAAAGGCCACCTGGAAGAAAAATACCGCTACCTGTTCCGGCTGATAGCCGATCCGCGAAGCCGAGAAGGCGGACCAAAGAAAACTAGGTATCTTGTTGCACGACATATCGCAAGTGCCGCGCCAGTTGGGCGAGGTGGCAGCTTTCGGCGGCTCCAACATCAAAACAAACACACAATAAACAAAAACAATACAAAAAATCATGTGGGATGTTTCGATGTCTTGTTTTGTACCGGTGGTTGTGAGCCTTCTTTCTAATATCAAATCTGCTACTCTCTATCGAACCCATTGCATATTCAACTTACCTCAATGTCCAATTAAGTTGTAACTTGTGCACACTTATGATACTAGAACTCAAACTACAAATGATTCTTATGCCCTTGAATAAATATCAGCGATAATCACATTCATTCATTAATTACATTATAAATCAATGTGATTGTATTAAATTCATGTTTTCTGGATGCGCAGAAGACTAAAACGTCAATGTCATTCGTGGTCAAGTCACTGAATAGCTAGAAAGATCTGAAGGGTATCTGCAGTAATGAATTTGTGCCTTCGAAGTGCCCACCTGATGTTTGGTTAAATATTTATTGTCTTTTTCATTTCATCATCTAAATAATGCGACTCTTACGCATTCCAAAAAGACTTATTATAATAATTAATATTTAAGGTACCTACCGACGTATAGAGTTTCTTGTCTGATAGTTGGTCCTTTCTGATACATATTGGAATATCGGTTGAGTAATTTTGGCGTGAAAGCCCGACAAAAAAACTCTATACATATACATATTTATAATATTAGTAGGGATTGTAGGTATGGAAACATGCACTGAGGCACATTATTTGAAGCAATACTTTTTCCCCCTAAACAAAAAAACCTCATGATACTTACATTTTTGTAGGTGGGTTTGACGTTGCTGTCGAAAGGCCACCTGGAAGAAAAATACCGCTACCTGTTCCGGCTGATAGCCGATCCGCAACAGAAGGCGGACCAAAGGAAACTAGGCCTCTTGTTGCACGACATATTGCAAGTGCCACGCCAGCTGGGCGAAGTGGCAGCTTTCGGCGGCTCCAACATCGAGCCGAGCGTAAGGAGCTGCTTGGGGGAGAGGGAGGAATTGGAGGCCACGCATTTCCTGGCTTGGCTGAAGCAAGAACCGCAGGTAAGGACGGAGATTTCCATTTCCACGACCTCTACAAGAAATGACATTGTACAGGGCTAGTTTTTTTAATGTGGACACCCCTTCATTTTCTTTGTTTTCTAACCATTCAAGGAGATTGAAAACTGATTTTTTCACCATATTGGTGTCAATCATATTGAGAGAGTGTTGCAATATCTCTTCAAATATATATATATAGGGTATACAGAAATATATTAATTTATCGAAATATACAGGGCCTTTCATTTGAAAAATATATTTGTTTCTGTATACCCTGTATATTTGAATAGATATTGCATCATTGTCAAAATTAGTGAAATCTTTGCGAAATATTATATAAATAAATGTTTTGAAATTTTTTGAATGAGTGGAAAACAAAAAAGGTAGATGTGAGTTTACATTAATAAAACTAGCCCTGTAACTATCGCCTTCAGTGAACATTTCGCAGTTGAACGGTATGAGCGCTCTTATTGCAGCGGTGATTTAGAGAGCTGACACCGTTCATGTGTGACATGTTCTCTGAAGACCACTGTACGTAGTAATCTCCGAATGAAAAATCAACCATTTTTTAAAGGCAAGTACTTTTTTCTTCTCGTCCGCTGTGGTCACTATCATACAGCACGGTGCGAGAGCGGCGATTGAGTTGACAGTATCTGTTATCTGTCATTTGCTGCTGTCAAATAGATAGATTTTACGTGTGATTAACACTGTGGTGTGAAAATAAGTGTTCCAGGTCAACAAAAAAATTATTGTAATATGCACTTCGGCTATCATTTTGCAGGATCGACTATAATAGACAGGTTTTCGCCCTTGGTCGTAAAAAACTATTATTCCACGAAACCACAGATTTGCAGTGTCCTTTTTTTTTTGCTTATTCAAGCAGCAGGCAGACTCCGTGGTGTAGACATTAAGACTCCATATATTTATAGATATATACAGGGTGTCCCAAAATTGCTAGGGCTCAGAGCTACCACGTGTGAAACTGTTCAAAATAAGTTGAATGGAGTCAACTTATTGATATTAAAAAATGTACGGTTTGTCCGTGAGACGAGTTCAAAGTTTACATAAAAAATGAATGCAATGAATTGAATGAAATTTGACAAAAGTGCATTTCATTTATTTATGTGACCTCGGATTGAACATATAAAAACGGAATCATGATTTTTAATAATTTTTATAAAGGACAATGAAAATAAATTTCCGAAAAATGACCAGATACATGGATATGATACAGGGAATAAGGAAAACATTCATCTGCCCTTTTTCCGTCTGCTCATTGAACAAAATTCCCCAAAATGTGTTGGTGTTAAATGTTTCAATAAGATGAGAAATCTAATAGACATGAGTGGTAGCATGTCAACAATTAGAATTAGGATATCATCATTTCTGAAAGATGAAGCTTTCTAGCTCCTGCATATATTTTGAAACTATTTTAATAGATATGTTGTCCCTATCTGTTTTATTTTATATTATCAAAGTAGAGGGTTAAAAATACAAATACATTCTTGCATTCATGTACTACACTTGGATAATATTGTATTTTTTATGTATATAATTTGAAAATATAGTCATTCGAATCTTGAATTGAAAACTTGTACAAGTGTTATATGTATAAACTAGAGTCACTGGATGGTTATTAGTTTGATAAGAGTTCGGACACAGCTGAACTTTTGTCCTTTTCTATTTTCTATAATACAATGGTTTAGGTGAATAAAAGAATAAGACATATATTCGGCTCTTTGTCTTTTCAATTTCCCTAGTAGTGCCTGATTGTCAGATACGATTTTAGAGGTTATATTTTCTGTCAAATCAATCATAGCCGTAGATGGACAATGGGTATAGGGTACAAACACCCACTCAAATTCATAGTGATACACTTCTAACAGAACAACTGTTATATAAATGAAAAGAATGCATGTAACAACATTTTAATATTAGAAAATATACACATATGGATGAACTTTTATAGCTATATAATTCCTTATTATATGTGAAACTGTACTCCAGTGATGAGTATAAAACATGATAGATAGATATTCTCAATATACAGGAAGTAAGATAAGTACTTTCGCAAGTGAAGTATTCCTGAGACAATTATAAGAAATAAAGTCTATATAACCTTTTGTGTCCGGAAATGCATCATTTCGTAGATACAGAGTGCTGAAATACAAAGAACAAAGCATTTTTCGATAAACATTTGATAGGAAAAAAGTAGTTTATTTTAACGAGACCTACCAAATACTTGGTTTTGTAAAGTTCTCAGCAACTCCACTTAGCGTCCTAGGAGCTAATAAGTAACATGGATCGATATAGAAAATATCTCCAAAACATTATCCTCCAGCGTAATTAAGGCCCTTATAATAATTCCTTTGATAGGTACATAAATAACTATTCACTGTCCACTGCTTTTCTTAGTTTCGTTTTCAAATTCTCAATTTCATTATGTAATTTTGCGATCATTTCCTCTTTTCCATGATCATTTCGTTTTGTATTTTGTGTGATGATAATAATGGAAATTTGTTCTCGAAATCGCCTGCTTTGTAAATTGAGGGAACAGCAGATTCTCACAAACAGAATTTGAAATCTTCTGTTTGAAGATGGGCCTAAAATATAGTTTCATTCTAATCAGATGCTGTTATAAAAAGTGAATTTTAATGAGTACCTCACAAATTTCGCTCGTCTTCAAATTGATTTTGCACCCATCAGGCCATTTCATATCTTCCTTCCATAAGCGAATGGTTGATATATGTTTCGGAAAATTGAATAAATGATATCCATTTTCTTCAGAATTGGCACAATTTATTACACAGCAAGTAATTTCCATAGCTGCTTTCATCTCGAATGTATAATTATGAAATTTTATTTCAATTCTGACGTTTATAAAATGTATTGTCAAATTCAAACAATTTTGAATGAAAAAGCGCAGGACGACTATGGTGCTCTTGTCACAATGCAAGGTGTGAAACTCAATAAATCTAAACACTCAAAAACCCTAACCGTTGTCATTTCTGTGTCCGAACTCTTATCAAACTAATAACATCCAGTGACTCTAGTATAAACCATTTTAAAAATTGTTTTTATTCAGTCTATCGTATCTATATACAGGGTGTTTCATAATTGAATGCTGATCCTAAAGGACGATAATCCTTGGATGATTTTAAGAAAAATTCTTCATGTGAACATAGGTCCGTAACAGCTTCGTTTCTGAGATACAGGATGTTGAAATTTAACAAAAAAATCAGTTATTCCCCAATATCTCTGGAACCACTCTGGCTTTTTTCTTCAATTTTAGTACATGCCGAGTATGAATAGAAATAGATTTTTCCCATAATGAAGGATTCCCTAATTTCCATCAGTGGCGTCCCTGTTAACATACCCTGTCATATTTTTCATCAAAATAATGATACGCCACTGTCTTTTTTCCAAATGAATATTATTTTTGTAATTATCCATGGTCCAAAATGTTCGAAGTGCGATACTGTTAGTCATAACAGTTGCGTAAGGAATATGAAAAATGTGATTAAAACCGGGAACAATGAAATAATTTGTTGTGCAAGTGAACAAACTGTGTCAGATGGTGATATGGACTTTTTTGATGCAATTGACGATAACCAATTGAATAAGGTAGACTCCCAATTAATTGGTTATATTATCAAGCAAAAAGATGTTTTGATTAAGGAACTCTACGACAAAATTTCTATCCTGAAAAAACAAATAGAATTGATGAACGAAACAAAGACCTTGAAGTCTAGCTTGCTATCGGTCGAAGACAAAAACGCAAAAAATGTAGGAGAAAAACCTGTGGCCTCCAGTGGAACAGAAAAACAGGTGAATCCTAAATCTGATCAAAACAAAGGGAATCCCCAGACAACTATAAAAACAGTATCAGCTGGTTTATTGGAAACGCAGACGAAAGTGACTATGGATAAATATATTCATATACAGGACGAAGCACATTGCTCAAATGAAACGAAATCTACTTTGCCGCAGAAGGACTGGACATTGGTCGAAAATAAGAAAAATAAATATAGTAGTAAACCAAGAACGAATACTACTAGTAACAACATCGTAGTTGGGAAAAATACGAACGCTTCAAATTCTCTGAAAGGTGTTCCCAAACAAGTAGACCTGCATGTTTACAGGGTAGCACCCAACACGGACGTTGAAACCATCTCAGACTTTCTGAAAAGCAGTTTTCCTGAAGTATCTTGTGAAGCTCTAGTCCCAAGGTATCCTGATCTGTACTCATCCTTTAAAGTACGAATTTATGAGAAACACCTTGAAAGGGCTATGGACCCTTTGGTGTGGCCAGAAGATGCATGCGTGAAGCCTTTTTTATACCGGAGATCGAACAACAGGATCAATTTGCCGGTAAATCGAAGAACAACATAACTGTAATGAACTGTTTCAAAAATGTTTTGAAGAAAGACACGATCAATCTATTCCACATAAATGTGCAAGGTCTTGCCAACAAGGTAGATAGAATTAATTTATTTTTATCAGATTATAATATTAATATCTTTTGTATCTCGGAACATTGGTTATCAGAGCCTATCTTGAAAACTATCAATATCAATGATTTTTCCCTTGCAACTTCTTTTTGTAGAAAGTTCCATGACAGAGGTGGAGTTTGCATTTTTGTCAAAAATTCTATTACTTTCAAAAAAATATCAGTTTCAAAATATTGCAATGAATTACAATCTGAATTTTGTGCGATTAAAATACCAGATTCGAAGATTATTGTCGTGGTTACATATAGATCACCTGGTTCTAGTGACCTTCAGAAATATTTCAATGATATTGAAAATGTCCTGACAGATCTGTCACGTAGCAGATTTAAAATTATACTGGTTGGAGATTTCAATTTGAACTTCAAGATTCAGTCAGTGCATTTGACACAATTTTTGGACTTGTGTAGTTCATTTGGCATGATTCCAACAATTTGGGATTTTACTAGAGTAACTGAGCATTCGGCAACCTGCATAGATAATATTATCACAAATATCGATGAGAAAGATAGACAGGTTGGAGTTTACGAACCATCCATAGCTGATCATAAGGGACAATACCTAACACTCGAAAAAATAGTGAATTATAATACCACCCTCGTAAATAAAAGAATCGTGACTGATAATGGTTTGCGGAAATTCAAAACAGCTATTGACAATATCGATTGGTCAAATTTTTTTGATAATGATCATGATGTTAATAATATGGCTAATTGGTTGATTGATGAATACAAAAGTATAGTTGCAAATTGTTTTCCCCTGAGAACGTGTCATTCTAATATCCGTCCACCTGTTAAGTGGTTTAGTGAAGAACTAATAAACAAAAGGAACACTTTGTCAACCCTGAAAATAATATGTGAAGTAGATAATGATCCTACGAAGTGGCAACTCTATAAGAATTTGAAAAAAGATTATAACAAATCAGTTGTGATGAGAAAAAAAACAGCATATGATTCATTTATAATGAACTCTAACAACATGCATAAAGCAAGTTGGGAAGTAGTGAATTTTGAAAGGAATAAAAAAGCTGTCCCAAAAATTGGTATTTCAATAAATGCAGAAGATTTCAATAACTTTTTCAGTACAATGGCTGATAAAATAATTAAAAACATTCCACTTATTTCTAGTAGTAGTTCCGACTACTTAAAATCAGTCCCTCCTGTATATTGTAATTTTTTCCTGTACAAGACGAACATTTCTGAGGTTCGCCAAGTAATACAGAAGCTGAAAAAATCATCCTCGACAGATTGCTATGGCTTGAATGATACGTTCCTGAAAGAATCATTAGACAGCTTAGTGGAACCACTCACGATCTTGATAAATGATTGCTTCTCTCAAGGTATATTCCCTAGTGCCTTTAAAATTGCGAAAGTTGTACCCATACATAAAAAAGATGATGCTTGCGAAATTGATAATTATCGGCCAATATCTATAATTGTAATTTTTGCTAAAGTAATTGAGATACTATTGAAAGTCAGATTATTGGATTATTTCGAGAAATTCAAACTTTTTCACCCAGCACAATTTGGCTTTCGAAATAATAAATCTACAACAAAAGCACTCCTCGAGATCTTGGAAAGCATAGTCGAGGATTTGGAAGGCCACGAACATTCGTTATTGACCATGTGTGACCTCTCGAAAGCATTCGACTGTGTTTCCCATGAGCTCTTGTTAGAAAAACTTGAATTTTATGGCATAAGAGGCACGCCATTGAAATTATTCGAGTCTTATTTGAACGATAGAAAACAATATGTCTACTTATCCAATAATTCTGAATCTGAGATGAAAAATATTATACATGGTGTTCCCCAAGGATCTGTTTTGGGGCCACTGCTTTTTATAATATACATAAATGACCTATGCTTCCATATGATGACAAAGTGTGATATTGTCCTCTTCGCGGATGATACGTCTTTTATTACTTCCAATAACGACATTTCACTCCTTCTTGAACATGCAGAATTAATAATGTCCGAAGCAGAAGAATGGTTTTCTGCAAATAATCTTCAATTGAACAGGGGAAAATCTCAAAACCTAGTTATTTCAAGTAATAACCAAATTACGGTAGGTAATCACTGTAAATTGCTCGGGGTTGTAATAGATGATTGTCTGAATTGGACACACCACATAGACAGACTTAGTACTAGGCTGTCCAGTATATTATTCTTACTCAGACAACTTAGTCGATGCCTGAACCCGAATATGTTGAGAAATATATATTTCGGTCTTTTCCACTCTTTGATTAGCTATGGTACGGTTTTATGGGGTAACTCAGTTAACTCTGTAAAAATATTCAAACAACAGAAACGAGCAATAAGAATATTGACTGGAGCTGGATATAAGGAACATTGTCAACCACTCTTCAGAAAGTTAGGAATTTTACCTCTTCCTTGTATCTATATCCTACATAATACAACAGAAATTCATTCCAAAAGAATGAGCATCCCAAAAATATCTAGCCAACATCATCACAACACACGTTCCGCTACTGCTGACGGTTTACTTGTGCCACGTTACAGATTGGTAAAATCTGAAAAAAACTCCTTGAACTTCAGAATTTATAATAAATTACCTAGCCAAATTAAATCTATGAACGAGAAATGTTTCAAAATGAATGTGAAAAAAATACTTCTCAATCATTGTTTCTATTCTGTTGATGAATATATTCAAACATCTCTTTTTTTGACCCCACCTTGTCATTCGCTTTCTTCGATTTAATCTTGCTTTGATTTTAGTTACCTACTATACATATTGTTTGTACTATACATGTCTATAATTAGTATGTCTGATCTGTATGTTTTATACATTTATTTATATTTATATACTGTATATTATTTGTTATGTTCTACTGACTTGCTATAAACCATATTCTGTATGTGTCACATAGCCAATAAACTATCTATCTATCTATCTATCTATCCTCTATTTTCTCATAAAAATGGTCTCTTGTCTTCTTTTCGTCCGGCGAATGGTTTTTGAGTTAGAAAATAAAATGTATTCATTTGCTTGTCCCTATTCGATTTTTACTCTTAGTCATAATTTCACAATTGTGGTAACCAAAAGATCTGAGCAATATTTTTATAATTTTATGGTAACTATTTTTAAGTATTTGTAATGAAGAAAAAAGCCAGAGCGGTTTCAGAGATATTGGGGAATAACTGATTTTTTTGTTAAATTTCAACATCCTGTATCTCAGAAACGAAGCTGTTACGGACCTATGTTCACATGAAGAATTTTTTTTAAAATCATCCAAGGATTATCACCCTTTAGGATCAGCATTCAATTATGAAACACCCTGTATATTACACTTAGTTTTTGTATTTTTTCGTTTTCTGACTAGTCCGATGAGTTTATGCATTCTGTAGTCCTCACCACACGAAATGTATTCTTTTGTGATGAATAAATGCTTTCTGAATAAGCGAACGGTGCAGATCGCTGTCAAAGACGAACCTGATTTGTTGCAGTCCCTGGTATGGCTGCCCGTCCTCCACCGTCTGGCCGCCGCCGAGGCCGCCAAACACCAGGCCAAGTGCAACGCGTGCAAGCAGTACCCGCTGGTCGGGCTGCGCTACCGCTGCCTCAAGTGCTTCAACTTTGACATGTGCCAGAGCTGCTTCTTCGCCGGCAGGCTCACCAAAGGTACAGCAATGTCTAACAGAGTTGGATTGAGTAATTTTCAACATTAGTCCATGAAAGTTTGAAAAAAAGGACCAAATCTCTGTTTTCGATAGAGAAGGTCAATTGTTATGAGATAAAGTGCAATCTCTTCGTGATTTTATCTGCATCAAAGTCTACATCGTCTCATGCTCCGTTAATTTCATCAATAAACAATGGGAAAGTTTCCTTCAAATGAATTTTCATAAAATAAGTTTGGAACTCTCCAGGTTTATGTCCAAGCTGAACAGAATGACGACCGATAAAGTCCAAGTCGTTTTCATTTTCAAATTAAAACAATTTCTAATTTTCGGGGCGGCATACTGTAACGTATATTCTGAATCTAGTCTCGAAATAGCTGATGGTGAAGAATATAAGAATAGTCAAGAATAGCTAACGTACGAGAAACGATTGAAAAAAAATAGAAGAAGAAGTAAAACTGGTAAACAAAAACATACATAACCACAAATGCACTCGGAGCAGGAATGCAGAAGTAGTTGGCTCCATTCTGACAGGTTATGGTTTTGTTATTTATGCATTGATATATCTCGAATAGAGCTCGATCCTGAACGAAAATATCATTGAATTAATGAATCACTATCGGCTACATTCAATGATACTATCCTTTCTAATTTAGTGCCATCGGTCAGAACAGAATGAAGCCGACACCCATGGATCATTCCTCTTGTTGTGCCTATCAGTATTTTGAGTGGTGTGGACGGACTCGAAGTATTAGGCTCTGTTGCAAGATATAATCTGTAACTTTCCTAGAAAATAGATCCGTTTCATTAAGGATGAACGAATTCATTAGCATAAAAATGACTGACAAGTTATGAATAACATATAATAATATAACGACAGTGAAAAATTATAGATTCTATCGCAAATATAATTTATTTTTATTATACAATAGAAAAGTATCTACATTATTAGCCAGTTTGTTTCTCTACAAGCTCAAAAACCTTTGACACTGCAGTAATGTATGGATAGTCAGAAATCACTAAAATGCTCTATTATAGTATCCATAATACAAACACCCTGAGTTCTCCAATCGGATCTAATACAGGTCCGCAAGTTTTACAATGTATTTCGTCACGTTGTTCAGTTGTTTTGTGAGTGTTGTGAGTTGAACACTGTATAATGGCAGTAAATAGCAGTATACAACTAAAAGAATATTTTATGTTTTGAAGCTAGTACTTTTTTGGTTGAGGTACGTAACAATATCAATACATCATAACATTCAAACAGAACAAATGCATTTTTAACAGATCATCACCATTGATTATAATTTGTAATTATCTTAAAATTGTTGTTCTTATCCATCATTCGGTTGCAACCCTCAAAAGTCTTCAAGAGACTTGTGCTAGCAAGGAATGACAGGGGACAGGAAACTGATAAAAAAGATTCACTCATGCAGTCTTATCTGAGTTCAATAAAATACCAGATGAAATTAAAAACTGCAGAAATATAAGTACATTTAGGAAGAAAGTAAAAAACTGATAAGTTCTGAGAAAAATGTTTTAAATTTATCAGTAAGTTATTTCCTCGACTAGAATTCTTTTCTTTGGTAATTAATTGTTTTGTTTTTATTGTGATTTATTGTATTATCCGGATTGATTATGATTCATTAATCATGTTTACTTCTACTCATGTTGGTGTAGTAGTTCATAAATATTTGTTACTTATTATTTTACAATCATGTTCCTCCTCATACCAGAACTTGTTCTGACTGGAAGATACGTTTGATAAATAAATAAAATAAATAAATAACCTTCTACCACGAGGCTACGCTGGCCCTATATCGTCTCATTCTCAAACAGAATCCAAACCCCAAGAAGAAGACTTCTAAAAATAGTATATTACACACTGAGGTGGGAAGTGATTCATTCCTGGCGTGAGATTAGTTGGGTAACCAAGACGCAAAGCGTCGACTTTAGCTATAATCTCGAGACAGGAATGAAACTTCCTACCGAGGTTTGTGTACTATTTTATTCACAACCATCATATTTCGATCAAAATTAATAAATCTCTGTTTCGTTCTGAACATATCTGAAATATTACATAATTGAGGGCGGGAAGTAGAGGTGTGTAATATGACACTTCCCAACCTTTAACGACGTTAGTAATGACAACATAACATATATGGTTGTAAATAAAAGTGAATTATTACTATCATTATTCAGGTCACAAGCTGAGCCATCCGATGCACGAGTACTGCTCGACGACGACGTCGATCGAGGACGTGCGCGACTTTACGCGTGCGCTGCGCAACAAGTTCAAGAGCAAACGGCACTTCACGAAGCATCCGCGCATGGGCTATCTACCGGTGCGGTCTGTACTGGAGGGCGACGAGCTGGAGAGTCCGGTCGCGTCGCCGCAACACAACGATATGCATTCGAGGTGGGTCAGGTTATTTATTTCTTTTGCTTATCCTAGACATCTTTCAAATTCAATTCAATGACAAACCTCTTGATTCATTGATGATATTTGTCATGAAACCTTGTTGAAGAAGTTGAAGGCATATGCTATCAGAGGAAAACCATACGATGTATTGGAGATCTACCTGTTAGATCGTCAACAACATGTCAGTATTAACGGTGTCATCAGCCAACCGAGGAAAGTGACGTACGGAGTACCTCAGGGAACAGTTCTTGGTCCGGAGAGGATTTACAGACGCCGAGTTGATACTCTCCCCTCGTGAGGGTACCTGTCGTGTCTCCACTGAGACATAAAGATGACTATCGTGAAATTTTGTATGATAATATATCGCCTTCCATAATTTAAGAAGGGTGTTCTCAATGAATGGTAAAATGGTGTACTTAACTCTCATCGGATATCGAGATCAAAACTAGTGATTCGAATCGGTTGCGATCGATACGACATGGTCTCGGTCGGTACTCTTCGTTCTGTTATTTCTTAGATTGCCTCTTTATTGATACGTTTCTTCTTATCTGTGACAAAAGTCGAACATTGTTCTTCTCTGATATGTAACGCCGGAGTGCAACTCTGAAACAAAAAGATGTGATTGATGAAAGAGAATTGATTGAAAAATATCCGAATGTTATATTGTACAATTCTTGAATGAAATGCGACATATTTCTGAAGTTCATGAAAGAAAAAATGAGATAGATAGGCAACAATTTTCTCTTTATGAAAGGCACTGTATATACCTAACCCAGCAGGCGTCAACCTCCGTTGCAGAGAGGATTTACAGACGCCGAGTTGATACTCTTCCCTCGTAAGGGTACCTGTCGTGTCTCCACTGAGACATAAAGATGACTATCGTGAAATTTTGTATGATAATATATCGCCTTCCATAATTTAAGAAGGGTGATCTCAGTGAATGGCAATATGGTGTACTTAACTGTCATCGGTTATCGAGATCAAAACTAGTGATTCGAATCGGTTGCGATCGATACGACATGGTCTCGGTCGGTACTCTTCGTTTTGTTCTTTCTTAGATTGCCTCTTTATTGATACGTTTCTTCTTATCTGTGACAAAAGTCGAACATCGTTTCTGATATGTAACGCCGGAGTGCAACTCTGAAACAAAAAGATGTGATTGATGAAAGAGAATTGATTGAAAAATATCCGAATGTTATATTGTACAATTCTTGAATGAAATGCGACATATTCCTCCAGTTCATGAAAGAAAATATGAGACCGATAGGCAACAATTTTCTCTTTATGAAAGGCACTGTATATACCTAACCCAGCAGGCGTCAACCTCCGTTGCAGAGAGGATTTACAGACGCCAAGTTGATACTCTCCCCTCGTAAGGGTACCTGTCGTGTCTCCACTGAGACATAAAGATGACTATCGTGAAATTTTGTATGATAATATATCGCCTTCCATAATTTAAGAAGAGTGATCTCAATGAATGGTAAAATGGTGTACTTAACTCTCATCGGATATCGAGATCAAAACTAGTAATTTGAATCGGTTGCGATCGATACAACATGGTCTCGGTCGGTACTCTTCGTTTTGTTCTATCTTAGATTGCCTCTTTATTGATACGTTTCTTCTTATCTGTGACAAAAGTCAAACATTGTTCTTCTCTGATATGTAACGCCGGAGTGCACTTCTGAAACAAAAAGATGTGATTGAAAACAGGGAATTGATTGAAAAATATCCGAATGTTATATTGTACAATTCTTGAATGAAATGCGACATATTCCTGTAGGTCATGAAAGAAAAAATGAGACCGATAGGCAACAATTTTCTCTTTATGAAAGGCACTGTATATACCTAACCCAGCAGGCGTCAACCTCCGTTGCAGAGAGGATTTACAGACGCCAAGTTGATACTCTCCCCTCGTAAGGGCACCTGTCGTGTCTCCACTGAGACATAAAGATGACTATCGTGAAATTTTGTATGATAATATATCGCCTTCCATAATTTAAGAAGGGTGATCTCAATGAATGGTAAAATGGTGTACTTAACTCTCATCGGATATCGAGATCAAAACTAGTGATTCGAATCGGTTGCGATCGATAAACCATGGTCTCGGTCGGTACTCCTCGTTCTGTTCTTTCTTAGATTGCCTCTTTATTGATACGTTTCTTCTCATCTGTGACAAAAGTCGAACATTGTTCTTCTCTGATATGTAACGCCGGAGTGCAACTCTGAAACAAAAAGATGTGATTGATGAAAGAGAATTGATTGAAAAATATCCGAATGTTATATTATACAATTCTTGAATGAAATGCGACATATTCCTCCAGTTCATGAAAGAAAATATGAGACCGATAGGCAACAATTTTCTCTTTATGAAAGGCACTGTATATACCTAACCCAGCAGGCGTCAACCTCCGTTGCAGAGAGGATTTACAGACGCCAAGTTGATACTCTCCCCTCGTAAGGGTACCTGTCGTGTCTCCACTGAGACATAAAGATGACTATCGTGAAATTTTGAATGATAATATATCGCCTTCCATAATTTAAGGAGAGTGATCTCAATGAATGGTAAAATGGTGTACTTAACTCTCATCGGATATCGAGATCATAACTAGTAATTTGAATCGGTTGCGATCGATACAACATGGTCTCGGTCGGTACTCTTCGTTTTGTTCTATCTTAGATTGCCTCTTTATTGATACGTTTCTTCTTATCTGTGACAAAAGTCAAACATTGTTCTTCTCTGATATGTAACGCCGGAGTGCAACTCTGAAACAAAAAGATGTGATTGAAAACAGGGAATTGATTGAAAAATATCCGAATGTTATATTGTACAATTCTTGAATGAAATGCGACATATTCCTGTAGGTCATGAAAGAAAAAATGAGACCGATAGGCAACAATTTTCTCTTTATGAAAGGCACTGTATATACCTAACCCAGCAGGCGTCAACCTCCGTTGCAGAGAGGAATTACAGACGCCGAGTTGATACTCTCCCCTCGTAAGGGTACCTGTCGTGTCTCCACTGAGACATAAAGATGACTATCGTGGAATTTTGTACGATAATATATCGCCTTCCATAATTCAAGAATGGTGATGTCAATGAATGGTAAAATGGTGTACTTAACTCTCATCGGATATCGAGATCAAAACTAGTGATTCGAATCGGTTGCGATCGATACGACATGGTCTCGGTCGGTACTCTTCGTTCTGTTCTCTCTTCGATCGCCTCTTTATTGAAACGTTCCTTCTTATCTGTGACAACATCGTTCTTCTCTGATATGTCACGCCGGAGTGCAACTCTGAAACAAAAAGATGTGAATGAAAAAAAAAATTGATTGAAATATATCCGGATGTTATATTTTACAATTCCTGAATGAAATGCGACATATTTCTGATGTTAATGAAAGAAAAAATGAGATAGATAGGCAACAATTTTCTCTTCATGAAAGGCACTGTATATACCTAACCCAGCAGGCGTCAACCTCCGTTGCAGAGAGGATTTACAGACGCCGAGTTGATACTCTCCCCTCGTAAGAGTACCTGTTGCAAAAATCGCAAAAATGCCTGGAAATTGCAAAAATCGCAAATTCCTGGAAAATGCAAAAATCGCAAGAATGCCTTGAAATTGCAAAAATCGCAAAAATGCCTGAAAATTGTTAAAATCGCAAAAATTCCTGAAAATTGCAAAAATCGCAAAAATGCCTGAAAATTGTGAAAATCGCAAAAATGCCTGAAAATTGCGAAAATCGCAAAAATGCCTGAAAATTGTAAAAATCGCAGAAATGCCTGAAAATTGCAAAAATCGCAAAAATGCCTGAAAATTACAAAAATCGCAAAAATGTCTGAAAATTGTTAAAATCGCAAAAATTCCTGATAATTGCGAAAATCGCAAAAATGCCTGAAAATTGCAAAAATCGCAAAAATGCCTGAAAAATGGGGAAAACCGAAAAAATGCCTGAAAATTGCGAAAATCGCAAAAATTCCTGAAAATTGCAAAAATCGCAAAAATGCCTGAAAATTGCAAAAATCGCAAGAATGCCTTAAAAATGCAAAAATCGCAAAAATGCCTGAAAATTGTTAAAATTGCAAAAATTCCTGAAAATTGCAAAAATCGCAAAAATGCCTGAAAATTGTGAAAATCGCAAAAATGCCTGAAAATCGCAAAAATTCCTGAAAATTGTAAAAATCGCAGAAATGCCTGAAAATTGCGAAAATCGCAAAAATGCCTGAAAATTGTGAAAATCGCAAAAATGCCTGAAAATTGTAAAAATCGCAGAAATGCCTGAAAATTGCAAAAATCGCAAAAATGGCTGAAAATTGCAAAAATCGCAAAAATGCCTTAAAAATGCAAAAATCGCAAAAATGCCTGAAAACTGTTAAAATCGCAAAAATTCCTGAAAATTGCAAAAATCGCAAAAATGCCTGAAAATTGTGAAAATCGCAAAAATGCCTGAAAATCGCAAAAATGCCTGAAAATTGCGAAAATCGCAAAAATACCTGAAAATTGTGAAAATCGCAAAAATGCCTGAAAATTGTAAAAATCGCAGAAATGCCTGAAAATTGCAAAAATCGCAAAAATTCCTGAAAATTGCAAAAATCGCGAAAATGCCTGAAAATTGTTAAAATCGCAATAATGCCTGAAAATTGCAAAAATCGCAAAAATGCCTGAAAATTGCGAGAATCGCAAAAATTCCTGAAAATTGCAAAAATCGCAAAAATGCCTAAAAATTGCAAAAATTCCTGAAAATTGCAAAAAATCGCAAAAATGCCTGAAAATTGCGAAAATCGCAAAAATGCCTGAAAATTGTTAAAATCGCAAAAATTCCTGATAATTGCGAAAATCGCAAAAATGCCTGAAAATTGCGAGAATCGCAAAAATTCCTGAAAATTGCAAAAATCGCAAAAATGCCTAAAAATTGCAAAAATTCCTGAAAATTGCAAAAAATCGCAAAAATGCCTGAAAATTGCGAAAATCGCAAAAATGCCTGAAAATTGCGAAA